CGTTATTGTTTGGTATCATTTTAATCTCCTATCACATTGTTTGCTGCCTTGATTTATTTTTCTTTTATGGGAAAGAAAGAGACAGCCGTTGAAAATAAGTAAAGGAATAATAATAAAATAATAATAATAAAATTTTAGTTATATCCCGCCCTCCCCAGCCGAAGCCGGGCTCAGAATAACCAAACACGCATGTCTGAATTAGCTCTTGTACAATTTTGACACTCCTGGAACGGCAGTTCCTGAACGCATGCATGCTCTCTGGGTACCAAAGGGAAAAAACGAGGACATTTGGCAAATTTAAAAAATCCGCCAGGACAGAAATTCTACCCCTGAAAAAGAAGGCATGTCCTTGAAAAAGAGGACGTATGGCAACCCTATGTATGGACTCCTCAGTATCCTACTTCCACAAACGTGGCTCCAAGCAGACCCCACCTTCTGCTAGACATGGAATTCCATGGCAAGCCTAGTTCCACTGCTCAATTAAGTAGGTAAAAGGTAAAGGTCAAGGACCCCTGGATGGTTAAGTCCAGTCAAATGCGACTTTGGGGTGCGGTGCTTATCTCGCTTTTCAGGCTAAGGGAGCCAGCATTTGTCCACAGACAGCTTTCCTGGTCATGTGGTCAGCATGACTAAACCACTACTGGCGCATGGAGGACCACGACGAATGCCAGAGTGCACGGAAACATGGTTTACCTTCCTGTCGCAGCAGTTCCTATTTATCTACTTGCACTGGTATGCTTTCAAATTGCTAGGTTGGCAGAAGCTGGGACAGAGCAACAGGTGATCATCCAGTTGTGCAGACTCAAACCACCGACCTTTCAGTCAGCAAGGCCAAGAAGCTCAGTGGTTTGGACCACAGCGCCACCCACATCCCTTACCTTTTCAATTAAGTAAAAACGGCCCTACCACTAGGAAGAGTGGACAAACCACCTCCAGCAGAGAGTGCTGGAAGGCAACAGGGGCTACCCTCTTGTACCAAAGCAAGAATCAGCTGCCACTCCAGGCATCTTCTGTTATATAGGAAAAAATGAGGATGCCATCTTGCCCTTTGCCTCAGGCTGGGCTGGCTCTGTTTCTGTGTACCAGAGGAAACACAAACCAAGACTCATAGCTAGTGAGAAAACAGTTTGCTGATTGTATCCATCTGCAGGGAGCAGAAACAAACAAAAATGATGGCGCAAATTGAGAGAGAGAAGCAAGGCTCTACACAATGAGTTCTTTGGTTTGGAAAGAAAGGTAAGCATTGGGTCTGAAAATCCACAATGGAAGAACAATCAAGCACTTTGCAGGCTGTGAAATTGGTGCGGGTGGGTGTTTTAGCTGTATCTGTTGTTAATGCATGTTGTGGGTTGCCTTGAATCCTGTGCTAGGAGAAAGGAGAGCACAGAATAAAATACATAAGTAAACACTACAGAAGACATTATAAAAAATGAGCAGAATTATGTTTTGGCATTGGGGAGGCCTTGTGGAAGTGGCCCCCATGGCTTATAAAAGGTAATAGCTCTTAAATCCTGGAGATCTTTTCCCCTTTTCGAGTGCATTATTATTATTATTATTATTATTATTATTATTATTATTTTGCAGCAGGGGCCAGGGGACCTGATGTCTTTGGACTTTGCAAACCTAATTAAACTATCAGCCTGTCAGACAGTTAATGCAGAAGGAAAGTGGGGGTGATTTGCAAGATCAAAGTTATCGTACTATATATATATAATGTGACCAGAGAAGGAATGACTGGTGAGAGGTGCGCAGAAAGAAGGAACGCCGTGGTGCATCTGTAACAGCAAAACTGAATGCCTTCATCTGCTCCAGCTGCAAGAAAACATGTCTCTCCCACACTGGTCCCTACAGTCACAGCAGGCGCTGTAATTCTCCAGTGGTTTGACTTCACCGCCAAAGACAGACAGATGCTAATTAACCTTCACTAAACTGCCGAACTGAACTCTGCTACTGGGACTCTTTGAAAACAGCCTTGCAGCCATTTTTCCTTTGCTGCTAACCCACACATGTGGGTCTCTAGAGGATTAAATATAATCCTATATCCTCTTACCAATTATTTAGCTGTGATTCCCGCACTTGCAGGGAGTTAGACTAGATGGCCCTTGAGGTCCCTTCCAATTCTACGATTCTGTAGTTGTAACTGTTTTATTTGTTTTATAACTGCGGTTCCCATCGCTGCAACCCTTGCACCTTAGGTTAAAGGGTGGGTAATTAATGCATTGCTTTATTCCCCCACCCGACTTATCCATAAGAGCAGACGACAGCAACAGCCAAAGCATCAAGCTTTGGTTAGTGATAAACCTCTTTGCGTTTGCCTGTTCCTGAAAACAAATCCTGAATCCAATCCTAATCCCATAATTCTGAAGTGCAACTTCCATCTCAGGCAGTTTGCTAAAAGGAGGAGAGTGCCCCAAATTCAACCACGAACATCCTGCCTAAGTAGTTGTTTGTGCTATGCACGTAGATAACGGTACTTTGTATCTTGGAATAATTCCACATACTGTATGAAGGCAACATTACAGATGAACATTACTACATTAGAATATGTCATTAAGATTCTACTTGTATATATGAAGAAGCAAGCATTATATATCAATCGCTGTACAAGGCAAGCTGTTACCTATAGCCCATTTCACTACATTTTACTAAGCAATAATAATATATTTTGCATGCCAACCTCGAAGCTAAGCAAAAGCGCCCTCCAAAATCTCCTGGGAAGATCTACGGAGAGCAGCTAATATAATGCAATGAGTTTCCCCTCCCACCCCATTCCAAATACACATCTTTATCATAATCTACACAAGCGTCCAACAAGCCATGCTGCTCCGTATCTTTTCAACTGAATCCAGGAGCAGATTTTTTTTTAATGGAACTGAAACAAATTTAAAAGCAAAACTCCAATCTGCAGATTTTCAGCTTGGCTGCTGTTTGCAACAAATTAAATTTGGTAAAATGATGCTTCGGATTTTTAAAAATCTTTTTAAAGCGGTGATTCAAGGTTTTTTGAGGGGGGCACCTCAAACTTTGCATAAATACTCATGGTTTTTAACCCCTTGGTTTTCAACATTTTGGAATCAGGAACTCCAATCTGGAATTCTTCCATTCATTCATGAACGTGCAACTTTGCTTCAGTAAATGTTTCAGTAAATGTGTTCATGTGGCACTTATGTACCTGTTTCACACAGGGCAATATCCATGAAAGAACCAGTATCTGGTTTTGCTATAAGCAATACTCATTGCTGCAAGCTTTTGAGTTTCTTTTCAAACATACCATTATGTAAATAAATCAGTAAGATGATGCTGATACTTAGAAAAAGCTTGGGTTTGTGTAGCTGGTAATACACTTTGAAATCATCACCATGCCTGTTCCCAGGGCCTACATTATGTGCATATGACCCAATGCAGCACATTTTCAAGACAGGACCACAATGGTCACATCTAAACAGCTGGCTGATAAATCCTGTGCATCATGGCTGAATTTACAAAAACCCTCCCTTCCCCAATGTATGAAAGTTCTGTGATTTGACCCACAGATGCCAGACACTGGGTAGAGAGAACATAGGGTTTTTAAGTCTTCTAGGCAAAGCTCATATACAACCCCTCTGCATTTGAATGGAACTTGGGCCAAGGATGCAATAAGTCCTGCTTGGGCGTTAATGCTCCTGTGTTTATCGACAGGGGAGTGATAACAAGTAACTCTGCCCACTAGTCTTTGTCAAAAGGGTGTGACTGCCTCTAATGAGTTTCTGTGCCTTCAGCTGCATGCAAGAAGGCTTCCATGTAAACCAGAACTCTGCAGAATCAGGGCATTTGGATTTCAAGGAAGCTTTTGCATGTACAGTCATACCTTGGTTCTTGAACGCCTTGGTACTCGTACGTTTTGGCTCCCGAACGTCGCAAACCTAGAAGTGAGTGTTCTGGTTTGCAAACGTTTTTTGGAAGTCGAATGTCCGATGCAGTTTCCGATTGAGTGCAGGAAGCTCCTGTAGCTAATCAGAAGCTGTGCCTTGGTTCTCAAATGTTTTTGGAAGTTGAACGGACTTCCAGAATGGATGACATTTGAGAACCAAGGTACGACTGTACAGCGGTATGTACGAAGACTCAGTTGCACTCTTCATTCAAGGGCACATGGCTGGGCCACTTGGCACGCACAACAAGGGAGCATCAATGCCCAGAGAGGACACTGATCTAAGGCTTATTAGTGGGTGTACCAAAAGGTAGCACTGGTGGTCACACCCAGAGATACTGTCTGAGTCACACAACAGTTCTTTAGAGGTACATTTTGAGCATGAGTTTGCAAGTGTTGCAAACTGCAGACCATCCACTCACTGGATCAGAAAGAGCCGTCAGGTGGGAGAGGAGAAACTCAGCAAAAAGATGACATCACACATATGATGCAGGCACTAAATACAGATTTCCCAATCCCATGGATGCTCAGTTTGGATAATTCTCACCCTCATTCCTCCTCTTTGAGGGGGGAGAATAACTGGGCATCCAACGTAACTGGACATCAGCGTTGAGTGCCCGCATCATGCATGACATTATATTTGTGATGGAGCGGAGGAGTGTATGACTCAGGCTTATCTCGTCAAACATCTGGAGAAGGAACATGACAGCCAAGAAAGAGAATCTATTTCAAAGTAGTGGCACACAGCTTGCTGTCTACAGATTGGTTCATGCAGGCATAGCCATCACATGGCAACTGCAGCATCAAAGGATGGTTTGCATGTGTGTGAATGGGCCATCATAAATGAAACCCCAGGGATGGACCTTCAATATAACCCAATTCTTTTCAAGTGAGTTTGTACATTTGGCTGAGATTCCTCAAGGTCAGCTGATGAGAGAGAGAGTGATGGACATGCCTGTGTGAACCAGTCCTATGTGTCAGTACTAATGGGGATGTGTCTACATACAGACACCATCTCCTTAACGGGATCCAGATTCACTTTCCTTTCTTAAAATCAGTACCATTTTCTTGAACTCCACCTAGAACTGCCAAATTATTATAATTATTTTTATTTTTTTTTTAAACCCCTACAACCTGCTAGGTAGACTGGCTTGTCTGCCCATTAGATCATGCCACTTTTCTCCTCCTGGAAAGAAGTTCGTGATGAGGATCTTCCTAGCAAAAGCTCCTTCTCATGAATCAGGCTTTCCACAAGGTCCTCCTGCCGGTAGTTATGGTAAACTTTCAAAAAGGCCAAAATGGTAATTCCAAGCCAAGTGAGCCAGGCAGCCCAAAGGCCAAACTAGAGAGAGAGAGAGAGAGAGAGAGAGAGAGAGTGTAACAAGGTCAAGCAGTTCCTAATACCAATTTATTTACAGTGCTACCTTGGTTTAAGAACAGCTTAGTTTATGAACAACTTGGATTAAGAACGCTGCAAACCCATAAGTAGGTGTTTTGGTCTGGGAACTTTGCCTTGGAATAAGAACATGTTTCACTTCCTTTTGAGTTTGTTCCATTTGTAAATTGAGTCCCCCACTACTATGGGAAAGCACACCTTGGTTTAAGAATGCTTTGGTTTAAGAACAGACTTCCGGAACGGATTAAGTTCGTAAACCAAGGTACCACTGTACATGCAAGTCTGTTTATACGGGGAAGTTTTTGACTGAATTATACAGAGGTGGCTAACATGGTGCCTTCCAGGTGGTATTTGACTCCATCTCCAACTGAGAGGCAGTGTGGTGTAGAATGTTGGACCTGGACGGGCAGAATTCAAAATTCAATGAAGCTCACTGGGTGACCCTTCTCCTAATACATGCATTTTTGAAAACAATGACTGGTTTCAAAGTTCAGATCTGCAAAGTTCAGATCAATGCAAATTTATCTGAAGGCTGACCATCTTTTGTTTCTTACGTTGCCCCAGAAAGTGTGATTTTGATAGATCCTCCTTTAAATGCATACTGAATTGAATTTCTACCCCATCCTCATCAGGGATGCTACTTTTGATTCCCAGAGAAGACAAGATGACACTGAGAACCTTTCCAGAGATCGATCAATCAATTAATCAATCTCTTTATTACAGCCAATAATCAGTATTCCTTCCCAGAACTGCAACTTATCAGCTCTATGGACAAACAAAGAGACTTTGGTGGAAAACACTTGACTTACCTGTGTGATGGCAAACTGGTCGTAGAATGCTGAGTTTTCTAAATTCAGCTCAAGATCTATATCCTGTAATTCTTCACAGCTAGAGGGAGAAGACATTTTGGATGAGGGGGAGGGGAGGAAATGAAAATCATTTCAGCAATTCCAAATGACCTTTTCTGAGCTCCACCTGAAACAGACCTCTAAATCCTGTCCAATAAAGCTCCATTCCCAAGAAGCAATAGCCCACTGCCATATATAACAACTGGATGACAACATCTTCATTATAAAACAATCATCCTGCTATCCTTGAAACACGGATAAACTTTCATATTGCAGCCTCTGTCTCTCAGCGCATGCCGCTGAACCAGTCAGAGTTTATTGCAGTTTGATCTCAACCAGAAATAATGGAGCAAAGGCCAAAATGTCAACGTCCCTTCAAATACTTTGCCAACTGTTCCCACTTTGATCAATTTCCTGCAGATTAAGAGAAAGAGAGAAGCTGTATGAATGTTTCATCCGTGTCTGCATTCTGAAACTAAATTGGGTCTCTAATCTGGCAAGACCTTTCAATGGAATCGTAAAAAAATTAAAAAATAAAATAGGAGACCAGCATGCATTTTGGCCATTGCACAATAATTGTGAAATGGATACACAAGGGAGTTTACAGCCACAATTAGCACAACATACCAGCCTCGGCATAAGAATGTAAGAAGAACCTTCTTGCATCAGACTGAATTGACCTCTGGCCAGTGTGGTGTTGTGGTTAGAGCTTTGACTATGACTTGGGAGAATCAGGTTCAAATTCCTTCTCAGCCATGAAGCTCATGAAGTGAACTTGACCCGTCAAGATTCTCTCAGCCTTACCTACCTCGTACCTGATCCTTGATCTCATGAACCATCAGGCCAAATTTGGTGGTGATCGGCTTCTTGAGTTCATAGACTCATAGAATCATAGAGTTGGAAGAGACCACAAGGGCCATCGAGTCCAACCCCCTGCCAAGCAGGAAACACCATCAGAGCACTGCTGACATATGGTTGTCAGGAGTTCAGGAACCATTGTGCAAAATTGGGTTACATTGCAGTTTTGAAAGGTAGAGTCCACCATCTTGTCCGATGGTATCCCAACACAGAGTTTATGAACTATCCTTGAGTTCAAGAATCATCATGCCAAACTGGAGGAGACCTTTAGACCCATAAGCACCATACATTAAAAAACACACACAAAGAGAAACAGTGGTGGGGGGCCCCAGACTGACAATGACTACTGGGGATGAGAAACAAAAAAGCATGCAATGCAAATGAAGCAAAAATGTGCAGGGGAAGTCCTCCACCTTACCTAAAACCAGCATTTGAAAAGCCTTAAGCTCTCCTATTTTGCCCCACCGACTCAACCACCCACACAGACAATCCCCACTTTGGCATCACCCCACAATGAAACTGAGTTATGAGCCTCCATTACCTTTTGACATCACCAGAGAAGACTTCAGAAGAAAGGGGTGTTTGCGTGTGTGTGTGGTTTTTGTTTTGTTTGTTTCAGATGCTCCAGAGCAAAGAGTTGGTCAGATAGAGTCTGCCTACGGGTGGTTTTGGGTTGGTTTGTTTACAGGTAACTTGGATTTCTACTTGGTGCTGTGAACAATTCCCCGGGGTTCTGAGGTTTCAGAAGGCCTCTTCTCTTTCTTTCTCTGTCTGTCTCTCTCTCTCTTTTTCTCTCCTTCCTTTCCAGTGTTGTCAGCCATCTTGGATGCTTATCCGAATATTCTATTAGTCCAGAGATTTTTTTGTTTTCAAAAAAAACCTCCCCTTTTAACGGAATATTCGAATAACCGTTGCAGCCCTAAACAGAACATTCACTAATGGCATTTTACAACATATGACAAGGTGAAACAAAGTAAATGCTTTAGCAATGCAGTTTATCTGTATCATATGACATAAAATGTCACCATTTTATCTTCTACTTTATGAGCCAGTGGATATTTTTTTTTATTAAAAAAAAACATGAAGGGAAAGAAATTTAGACTCTCAATAAAAATATTTCTAGTACCAAACACGCAGAGTGGTTCAATACGCTGGATAATTTCTCAATTGTGCAATATTGCTGGGCTTTAATACTCTACAACAGTGATAAATTTAAATTGCAGCCTGGAAGCATTTTAGATGCACATTCCTAGTTGTTTCTGAAAATCAACCCCCACCCCCACCCCTTGCAAGCTAATTCAGTTGTGTAAAGGAACAACAGCAATTTCCTCACCCAACCATGTTAATATGGATTACTGCCCTTTACTATGAAGCAAATTATGTCCCATTTTCATTTATCTAGAATAGGATAGGTGCGTATATGTCAGATTTTTAGATAGGCTAGTACTAGCTCAGGGGCGAAGAACCTTTCTTCAATTTGGGGACCACATGCCATTCTGGGCAACCTTCTAGGAGTCATGGGTCTGTGATGGGCGGGGCCAGAGGGAAAAGTGGGTGGAGTAACAAGCGTGAAATTCACCTTCGTAGGCTAATTTTAAAGCACACTCACGAGTCCCTCCCTCACCTCCACCATCCCTCTCTATCCTCCAGCAAAAAGCGCTATTGGGGTTCAACAGCACATTCCAGTCAGGCAAAACCACTCAAGGAGAGTGGAGATAAGGGCTGGGTGAGGGGGGGGGACATGGCTATGGAGTGGTGTGGTCTGAAGACAGTTCCAAGGGCCACAAAAGAAGCCTAGGATCCCCTTGCCTGAGGTTCCCCATCCCTAAAATAGCTTAAATCTTTTAGGATACACATCACACCCTGGATTTTGAGGGACAAGGAATATAATAGTAGTAATCAAATGCTCTGCACATCCAAATTTTCACTTCCCATGTGGTATAGAAGTGCTTAACCATTCTTCCTTCCCCTCCTTCCATATCTTGCTTTGTTTGACGAAGGGTGCTGCAGTTTCAAGGTCCAAACTGCCATATTCAATACAGGACTGGCCTCCAGTAGTCTTCTTTTTCCCCCCTCAAATCACAGAAAAGGGGGAAGTTAACTTCTCCCATTGCAATGCTGCTAGATAATTCTTAAAGCCACTGGATCTCTGTCCTGTGTTGCATCTGACAACGTAAGCCAAAGAAGGGGCAATTTCTTCTTCTGTTGGCCTCGCTGTAGCTACCCATCATACCGTTAGGAGATTATTTCCAGCTCACACCTCTTTTTGCCTGTTTCCCTTGCTTCCATACCTGCCCTTCGCTTATTGCCTCCCGTCTATCTGAGTGCATGCATCAATGGGAAGGACCCTCGCCTGCCACACTCACCTGTTGGGCATGCTTCCTTTTTCGGTGATGGCGTCGCACCACATGTTAAAGCCAACGCTTACGATTGTGCTGGCGATGAAGATGACGAAAACCACAAAAGCGCTGATGAGCAGATTCAGGAAGGCGTAAAAGAAAGAGCTGGGAGGGGAAAGTGGGAGGTGGGGAAGAGAGAAGAAAAGGGAATTATAACTCGTAAGCAACGTTTGCCAAAGCAAAGTAAGCAGAGTAACCAAACGTGATCCACCTGGAGCGGGAACCGGCAAGCCACTCCAGTATCCCTGCCAAGAAAACTCCATGGACAAAGACAACAGGCGTATAAAAGTTATGATGCTGGAAGATGAGCCCCTCAGGTCAGAAGGCATCCAACATGCTACTGAGGAAGAGCGGAGGACAAGTACAAGTAGATTCAGAGCTGATGAAGCGGCTGGGCCAAAGCCGAAAGGTCACTAAGCTGCAGATATGCCTGGAAGCGAAAGGAAAGTCCAATGCTGCAAAGAAAAATATTGCATAGGAACCTGGAATGTAAGAACCATGAACCTTAGTAAGCTGGATGTGGTCAAAAATGAGATGGTAAGAATAAATATTGACATCCTGGGCATCAGTGAACTAAAATGGACGGGAATGGGCGAATTCAGTTCGGATGACCATCATATCTACTACTGTGAGCAAGAATCCCGTAAAAGAAATGAAGTGGCCCTCACTTCAACAAAAGAGTGGCATCTTAAAAAGTGGAGACATCACCTTGCCAACAAAGGTCCATATAGTTAAAGCTACGGTTTTCCCAGTAGTGATGTATGGAAGTGAGAGCTGGACCATAAAGAAGCTGATTGCCGAAGAATTGATGCTTTTGAATTATGGTGCTGGAGGAGACTCTTGAGAGTTCATTGGACTGCAAGAAGATCAAACCTATCCATTCTTAAGGAAATCAGCCCTGAGTGCTCACTGGAAGGTCAGATCGTGAAGCTGAGGCTCCAATACTTTGGCCACCTCATGAGAAGAGAAGACTCCCTGAAAAGGACCCGGATGTTAGGAAAGATGGAGGGCACAAGGAGAAGGGGACGACAGAGGATGAGATGGTTGGATAGTGTTCTCGAAGCTACCAGCATGAGTTTGACCAAACTGCGGGAGGCAGTGGAAGACAGGAGTGCCTGGCGTGCTCTGGTCCATGGGGTCACGAAGAGTCGGACATGACTAAACGACTAAACAACAACAACAGCAACATTAGGACTACTGCAGCTTCCTGTTATCTCACAGTGGCTGACCAGGTGCTTCTGGGCAAGTCCTGAGTGTGAGAGAGCCAGTGTGGTGTAGTGGTTAAGAGTGGTGGACTCGCAATCTGGGGAACCGGGTTTGCGTCTCCGCTCCTCCACATGCAGCTGCTGGGTGACCTTGGGCTAGTCACACTTCTCTGAAGTCTCTCAGCCTCACTCACCTCACAGAGTGTTTGTTGTGGGGGAGGAAGGGTAAGGAGATTGTTAGCCGCTTTGAGACTCCCTAGGGTAGTGATAAAGTGGGATATCAAATCCAAACTCTTCTTCTTCTTCTTCTGAGTGCAACAAGCAAGTCCTGAGTGCAACAGCATTCACCCCACTAGGGATTTCCAGCTACTTAAACCCAGATTGATACTGACAGATCTGGGTTTAAGAGCCCTATCCCACAATCTCCTTCCCCACTCCTATGTATTTTTGGTGGCAGACCTCAAACATTTCCTTTTAGCCTAGGCCACCACAACTGGGCTGAATTGGGGGTATTAGTCAAACCATATGAAGAGTACTAGGTTGGGGGAGGTTGGCTTATACTTTGCCCATGCTCTGACTTGCAAACAAATCAGCACTAAATAACATGTGAGGTTTGTCAGAGTTTAGTATTGTGTAGCTGCTTTCTGTTTCACAAATAACCAGCAACTAGGGGAGGGTAGATGGACCCAGACTGTGAACACAGTGTAGGAGAAAAGGACTTATCCAGTACAAGGTAGGGAGAGGTTGTTTCCCTCACCATAGTAGTAGAATTCAGGCCCATTCAATGCAGCTGAATGTTGGAAAAACTGAGAGAGACTGTTATTTATTCATTTATTTATTAAATGCATATCCCGTCCTTCTTCCCAAAGCAGGCAAGGATGGTAAGCAACAACTTTTAAAATGTCCCACTGCAGATGCAGACTTGGAAAGATCTTAGTTTAAAAGGTCTGCTAACCAGGTGTCAAAAGGACAACAGAGACTGCACCTGTCTGATATGCATGGGGTAAGTATTCCAAAGGGCAGGTGCCACACCACTAAAAGCCTGATTCCTAGTTTGTGTGGAATGGACCTCCTGATATGATGGTCTCTGCAGAAGGCCCTCACCTGCAGAGCAGTGATCAATTGGTTATAGAATAGGTGAGACAATATTTCAGGTATCTATCTCTCAAGCTGTATACAACTATATGCACCCAAACCAGCACCTTAAACTTAACCCAGTAACCCTAACCCTATCACACCCCCACTCAGTCTGCTCTTTGCCAGGCAAAAAAACAAAAACCCCACTTTCTTCAACCTAGATAGCCAGTGATATGGAAAACAAATCTTATTATGAAAGTTTGGAGAAGCTGGGAATGTTTTGCAGATGTTCTACCTTCCTCCACCTTTCTTCAATGGTGGCTAGACTTGGAGCAAGGCCTCTTGAGGCTGATCTTAAAATCTAAACAGCTTCATGCCATAGCAAGTGGTCCTTTGTGTATCCAGGTTGCAGGACAGCTTTCTAGTTTAAACACTTTGATCATCCCCGGAATATTACAAGCTGGATGCCTGTCATCGTAATCACCACCAGTTTATTTGTAAACCACTTTTCTGCAAAGCGTGACTCACAGCATAGCAAACTAACTGCAATAAATGTAACAATCCAAAAAAAACCATACTAAGAAACTATTAAGAATTATCATAAGCTCACTTATGTAAAGCAATATAAGTAAACTAACCTAATTTAAGAGCTTAAACCCAAACAAGACAGAGAATAATGTCTAACACAGAGTAAAATGGCAGCATATCAAATTGCAGGCAAGAAATCAGTAATCCAAAACTACGTTCCATAGAAGCTCACCATAATTTGGCAACCACACCTCTCCGTTCTGATAGCCTTCCCTCTGATCTGCTAGTTAGACACCCATGGACAAAATCATCCACCAGGCCTATTGTGAGTTTAAGACAAGTCTTGTGGGTCACCTGATGTTGTCGGACAACAAAGCCTATCATCCCTGAACATTGGCCATGGCAGCTGGAGCTGATGAGAGCCAAAGTTCAGCAATGTCAGGAAGGCAGCCAGTTCACCATATCTAGTTTATGGAAAGCTTCATCATCATCCACGCCCTGCCCATTCTACCAGCCTTGAGCAGTTCATCTTACACAGGTGAACACGTGGACAGGCAAAGACCTCTTCATAGCTTGTGGTACTTTGAGCTAAACTGCAGCACCCCAGAGAGATCTCGAAAGCCAGCTGAATGCAGTGTATAAAATATTACCAGTGCTGCAGGCACTCATCACCATGGAGATCAATGGTACATTCTATTATAAGCCTGTGGTTTGGATCACTTGCCCAAAGCCTCTGGAACTGTCTGCTCTGCAGACACTGTAACAGAACATGTTGCCTGCTTTTTATCTTCTGGTTTTCATTGTGCTTAGGACTAACTGGGGATGGGAGGTACCATATTGATCTTAATAAAATAGAAATTTGCCTAATGAAGATTGGGGCTCTTAGGTCCTCCTGGTTGCTTGCAGACATTTGGAGAGAAAAGATCTCACCATAAATAATCTATTTTTTATTATTATACATGTATATCCCACCTTTTCTCCAAAGACCAGGGTTCAAATCTCCTCCCCCTTTCCATTTTATCTTCACATTTTATCCTGTGAGGTAGGTTAGGCTGAGATGCAGTGACTGCCCCAAAGTCATCAAGTGGCCTTCAGAGCTGAGTGGGGATTTGAACCCTGGTCTCCCAGGTCCTACTCCATCTCTCTAACCACTACTCCACACTGGCTCTCAACAATAATAGCTAGCTCTCCCACTTTTCCAAAGGAAGCATAGAAATGGAATATCTCAGAGATAGCTAATTTGGTGCCCCCCCCCGAAGCAGTAAGAGTCCAGCTCTCACCAGTCCCAACCAATATGGCTGACAGTCAGGGATGATGGGAGCTGTAGCCCCAAAAATTCAGAAGACACCATGTTGGGTACCACTCGAAGAGCCAGTTGTGGTACTCAGACCATTGAAAAAGAATCAAAATTGGTTTTGGGGGGCCCAGAGGAGGTGGGTGAGCCAGGAGAAGGTGGGATTCACTCAATGTAGCAGAAAACTTTTGGAGAACCATACCTGCCTTTCAGCTCTTGGGATGAGAAGCACCATAAACAGAAGCAGCAGCTGAAACCCACAATATCAGCATCAGTTGTGCATGTGTTTGCTTGTTGTTGTTTTAATGTTATTGCTCTTATTTTGTAACGATATGTAGCAGAAACCATTATACATCAAACATCCTTGCAATAAGAAGAAAACAAATGAAATTTTAAAAAAGAGGAGGGAGGGGAATAAAGTGGAAAATGAAATTACAGATAAAGGGGTGGGGACAACATAGCAAAACTCTGTAATACCTTGATTAAATTAAAAGGGGGGAAATGTAATTTATGTTGTCATTCCAGGAATGTAAAAATGCCCACCTCTCAATAAGTTTGTTCTCAGCATTGTGTTTTTCTCAAGTGTAAGCTTTATCATTAAGATAGTTTCCCCTAACCAAACCGTTATGGTAGGGGGATGTCTTCCCATTTTTTGTGCAATTCTGCTGTGGTTAGCGGGGTAGCAATCAGATGTAAATCAGTATTAATGGTTTCAGGATAGAGTATCAATAGGGGAGCTCTTTTTTGGGGTATCTTGGGAAATCGCAGCCTGTACATATTCACATAATATTCAGTAAGTCTGCCCAGAAAGGTATTAATTTGCCGCAACTCCAAAAAGTATGCATTAAATCCTCCTTTATTGTGTACATGTTTTAAATGGTCGTTTTGTGTGTGTGTGTATGTACAGTCCAACCCCCTATGCTGAGCTGCAGTTTTGGAGCCAAAACCAGAGCCTAAAAAGGAGAGCCCTGCAGGATCAGGCCAAAGGCCCATCTAATCCAGCACCCTGTCCTCACAGGGGCCGACCAGTGGGGCTTTATTTCAGAACAGGCAAGCGTAGGGGGTATCCGGACTGAATAGACACCCCAGCTCATCCTGCTGCAAGCCTAGAGGAATGCGCACGGAGCCTTTTCGCTTGGAGTCTGGCGCTCAAGGCATCTGGTGGGCGACGGGGAGTCTCCGTTTCCACGGGAGGGAGGACCCCTCCCGCTGTTTTAAGCCAGCTCCCTCCCTTCCCCTCCCCTCCCTCCCTCCCTCCCCGGCCGCCACTTACTCCTCGTGGCCTTTGCAGAGGAAGAAGAGCGTCCTCCAGGCCTGCACTGCGGCGAGCAGCAGCGAGAGGAGGCCGGCGAAGAGGCTGAATCGGCAGGCGGACTCGGGCCCCCACTCCTGCACGGTGAAGCGCTGCCGCTCGGCCGTTAGGTTGGCGTTGAGCCACATGCCCTCGGTGAAGAGCAGGCAGCGGCCGTGGAAGTCGTTGCTGTTCTCCGACAGCGGCACCACCACGATGAAGCTGAAGAGGAAGGCGAGGAAGTAGCAGGTGCACTGCGCGAAGAGGAAGTTGCTCAGCGCCATGGTCGCCAGCCTTTGCTGCCTGCCTGCCGCCGCCAGCCGAGGAGAGAGGAGGAGGAGGAAGGCAGCAGCCCGAGGAGCGAGAGGAGGATGCGCAGTGGCGAGCGCGCCTCCCTCCAGCGCCGCCCGCGCCGACCCAGCAAGGATGGCTGGCTGGGTGGGTGGGTGGGTGGATGGATGGATGGATGGATAGGTAGAGGAGCTCAAGGGCAAGACGGGGCGGGGCTCGTCAGGAGGTTTAGACCCCCGCACCGCTTTTGTGAACACGTGGAGCTGCCTTCTTGCGTGGTTATGCCTTTCGGTGTTAGCAAAGCAGGGGAGGGCAAGAGGGCAGGGGATGGGCCCACACAGAATGATTCATGGTGTGGAGACAGTGGGTAGGTTCTATTTTATTTTATTTTATTTATTTTATTTTTACCAATTAGCTCACTCCATAGAACATGAGACTCTTAATCTCAGGGTTGTGGGTTCCTGCCCCCTGTTGGGCAAAAGACTCCTGCATTGCAGGGGGTTGGAGCAGATGACCCTCACAGTCCCTTCCAACTCTACAATTCTATTACATATATAGCCAGGTATGATGGGAGTCATAGTCTTTTTTATGATTTTCAGTTTTATACATTTCAATAATTTTACAGTCATTTTAACATTTCAAAACTCGACTTCCTTCCCCCTCTTTCTGCGGTTCCTTAAATTTATTTTCAATATTTTCTGCATATCCAGATTAACTTAATTTGCTCATTTATTCATCTACTTTAAATATATACTCTTATAAAACTGCAGTGTATCTGTTTACAGCTTATTTGTAAATATTCAATAAAACAATTTCCATTCTTTCATAAAGATTTGTTATCTTGATTTCTTATTTTCCCTGTATGTTTTGGGAGTTGTAGTCCAACATCTGTCAACCCAATGTTGAGAAAGGCTGAGCTAGACTTCAGAGCAGCTTAAAAATGGACGAATGAATGAATGAATGACATGCATACATTTCAAGTCACAATTGCAGCTGCTGGATTCTCTTTTTTAGTAATAATGCTTGTCTCAGATCCTTTTTGCTGCTCACACAAAACTGTACTGACCATTTCTTCTATGGATTGTTCCAGACCAAAAGCTGGCTCCTCCACGTCTAACAAGGATTGAGTTGCTTCCTGGCCCTTCTTTAATTTGAAGGTGCAAATGAATCCCCCATTTCCATGTTTTCAGCATGTGGAGATAAGAACATAAAAAGAGGCCAATGGCCCATCTAATCCATCCAGCATCCTGTACTCATAGTGGCCAAGCAGATGCCTGTGGGAAACCTGCAAGCAGGGCCTGAGTGCAACAGCAATCTGCCTACCTGCAGTTCCCAGGAACTGGCATTCAGAGGCATACTGCCTCCAACAGTGGAGCTGGAACATTTATCTGTCTTGAATCTTCCAACACTTAGCTTCATTGGATATCCACAATTTCTAGCATTATGAGAGGGGGAGAAGAACATTTCCCTATCCACTGCCCTCATGTTATGCATAATTTTATATTTTTGCAAATGATTGTTGACCATTGTGAATTAAGTTCAAGGTGCTTGTAATCTATAAGAATCAGATATGCTCATGACATGGATCTAATTCCAATTTGAAAGTCTCATGCAGATGTGGTGCAAATGCAATATATGGTAAGAAGCCTACAGTGTGAGTTCACACATGCATGCATGCTGCAATGAGAGGTGTGTATACTGTACATGATATGCGTGCACCAATTCCTGGCACTCCAAGCAGCAGAACAGATCTATCACATTCTGGACCCAGCATTGTGTGCTTCTACAAGAAAGCAGAAGGAAGGAGAACTGCCTCTTGTTAGATCTCAGGGGCTCCAGCGCTTTTGAAAGATAATTAGTCATTCTTGGCAAATCCTAGCATAATAACCGCAGCCCCACTTTGCTATTTTAAACAGAATCAGAAATATAGGTGGTTGACTGCATTAATCAGCACCGTGGACAGCTCAGCCATTCAGATTGCCTCTGGGAAGCCGGCTCTCTTTAGACCGCTGTCCAAGGTCCTGAATTCTGCAAGGAACTGCTATTAAAGAAAGGAAACTGAAATCCTGCCCACATAATGACTCCCTCCCCTGCTTCTTTCATTATTAATTTATATAATTGTATTGTTTAGTTTTTCTTTTTCTTCTTTTTCTGATTTTCTGTTGTTTTTACCTCTTTATATTTTATCTTGTGAAGTCACTTCACTGCTTTTGTATAAAGTGTTTATATTAATAATGCTGATGATGATGATGCTGATGTTAATTCAATCTGTACTGGCTGCTTATCAGCTACCAAGCCAGGTTTAAGGTTCTGTTAACCTTAACACTGAATGCCCTATGCAACTTGGGACAGGGAGACCTAGTAGACTGCCTCCTCCAACACAGACCAGGAGTTGTATCCCAGGGCCTATGCCTTTCAACAGGGTTGGAGAACATGCAGCCCTCCAAATGTTGTTGGAATATAACTCCCAGTATGCTTGACCATTGGCCATGCTGGCTGGAGCAGACAGGGGTTGAAGTCCAACAACATCTGGGGAGACACAACTGTCCCAAGCCTGCTTCACAGTGTTCTTAGAAGTCCAATGGAAAATCACACATACGTACAAAGAGTAGAAGTGTTTTGTCAAGCACCAGATGTCTCTTTAGGAGAGAGCTTCTCCTCACCAAGTCCAGATGAGAGCATGACTGCAATTTCCCCCAGTTCTCTGAACTTTCTACTGCTGCAGCTGCCCTTCCAGGCCTTCTGCAGACACAGTGGGAATAACTCCTCCCAAAAGATAAATCATTATTTAAGAAATCATTGCTTTGCAGGTGCAAATATTCCCCTTGTTAGAAGAGACACTTTTGTCTCCAGAAGCGGCAGTTTTATCACAGGTGTCGTGCTATACTCTCAATAGTTGTGGGAAATTTCATTTCCACTGCTGAGAACCTGATTGAACTTCTGAAAAGGCCCATCCAGCAGTTCCTCAGAGAATGAAAAAGTCACAAAATTGTGCCCTGGGCAAAGCAATTTTGCTGATAATTCAGGGCTTTACGTGTGAGGAGAAATGTGGAGGGAAGCTGCCTTTGCATCAGGTTCCCAGAGGTTTTATACTACCTGGAAGGTTGAAGAGGGGAGAGAGAGAGAGAGAAACCAAACCTGCAAAATGGTGGCAAATTCTTTCCTTTGAAATCTAATGCTTTATGTCTCCTAGGTATTTTTTAAAAGCAAGATAGGGATCGATCTAGACACGGAGCCCAATTTGTTGCTGACTGTAGGGGATACTGGAGATTTAGAATGAAAACTTGGCTCAGTTGATGTCACTGAGACTTTTTCTGCCATGGGCTGTTGTGGAGCAGAATTTTACTCTTAGGCTGTGGTCCTCAAGCCTCTTAGGACCAGTACAATCGTTCCAATTTCCTCTCCAGAGATCAAACTTGATTTCCTGTAAAGAAGTGGGGAAACAGACAGTCATATGATCCTAAAAACATGGGTTACTGCACTGTAAAAGGGTGCCCACCATATTGTTCTCAGGTGTACCTATTCCCTTTCAGGAACCAATGCAGGAGGAATTGGTTAGGTGGACTGGAAGTAGAAGCACCTCCTGCACAGCATGGATTGGCTAGTGACTTTGTGTCACCACCCTCTCTTCTCACCTCTATGCTCTGATCAGTTTTGCAACTTATAAAGATTTTGTGGGGGGTTTTAAAGCCACAATATGAACATCACCATCATTTCATTAACATTTATATACCGCTTGATTGTAGAAAATCTCAAAGTGGCTCTACTTGTATGAGTTGATGCATATGATAAGAACCTTTGAAATAAACCCTGTGGAATCATGACATAACAAAGAGTTTTGCTTGTGGCCAGCATCGTGCCTAAAGCTTTCGTAAACAGACATTCCTCTTTTGGTAGATGTAAAGTAGACTTTGATTTCAAATGGTTGGTTAGGAGGGGGATAAAGAGAGAGGGGGGGGATGAAAGAATGAAAGTAAATGGGGTGGCAGAAAGAGGAAAAACAGACTCTACAGTCACCAGGTGATGGTGCTTTCCATGAGCCTTGCCCAACAAATACAGCTTTAAGAACAACCTGCTGGATCAGGCCATGTAGACCAGCATCCTCACATTGTCTGTGGGAAGCCTGCAAGCTTGTCATGAGTGCAACAGCACTCTGTAACTCGTATCCAGAGTCATACTGCTTCCGATAGTGAAGGCAGAACACAGCTAACATGGCTACTAGCAAGGGAAGAGCCATGCATGCATTCCCAGCATCAATTGCCTACATCTCTAGGTAAGCTTTGGAGAGACCTCCTCTGAAACCTGGAGGAGTCACTGTAAGTCATTGTAGACAATGCCAAGCTGGGTAGACCAATGGTCTGACTCGGGGCTTAGCCACACTTACCTCCCCCCGCCCCCAGTGCTCCCTAGCCACAGGTCCACAAAAATGGCCCTCTTCATCAAAACCTTCCCATCTGGTGACGAGGAGCAAAGAGGCCGTGTTCCTAAACCTTCATTCGGAAGGCAGTTAAAAGGGGAATTTCAGCAATTGCAACTTTTCTCTCCCTTGCGCAATATGCACCAAAAATCCCCTCCACTCTGTGCATTTGGCCACCAGCCCTAGTGCTGGCAGCTACAACATTATTTTAAAGCACTTTCTTTCTCCTATAAAGACAGGGGTCAAGAGATCTCATGCAAGAGAATATTCCTTGCTCTCCCAGGAGGCTGTTTTTTCCCGTTCTGGCCAGGCTGACCTTTTCTGCCCCGCTGCTAAGCTCAATGAGATTGCCCACACTCAGGCAATAGAAACTGAGAAGGCTTTTGCTTTTATTTCATTTCGACTGTTTCTGGTCCCCGAGATGGTATCGTATATTCTGCAGTCCTGCTGACACAAGCTTCTCTTGTGATGAGGCTGTGCAGCGTCCGGCGTTCACCTTTTGCTGTAACCTTTTCAGCTCTAATAAAACTGTACTTTGTGTCAAAGATGACATGAGCAGGCAGGAAAACAGTTGCAATTTGGGGAAATCAGTAGAATGCTTGCAATATTTTGTAGTAATCTTGACAAAGTACAATACCATG